TTGAATAGTTCTATTAAGAAATTGCTTTTGGATTTTTGGTAAAGTTTTTAGAACAGAGTTTTGCTAAAGTTTTTAAAATGTTAATATTTATATTGAGAGTATTGCATTTGAATGTAGGTTTGTAGAAATTATAATTGTGTCAGAGTCATTATGTTAACCTATTGATATTGATGCAGCATGGTTTGGCGAAGTTAAAGAATTTTTTAACTTTGATATGAATATATCATATGAAGTTATCCTATGTTTTGTTTGTTAGAAATTCAAATTCTAATTCTATTAAGAGATTGCTTTATTTTTGTTTATTTTTACCTCTTTATGTGCATTGGTATTTTTGCCATGGGTGTCAGTTCCCCTGGAACTATAGCTACAGAGAGTAGTGAGCTGCCATGTGGGTGCTGGGAATTGAACTTGGGTCCTCTAGGAAGAGCAGTCAATGCTCTTAAACACTGAGTCATCTCTCCAGCCCCAAGAGATTACTTTAAAGTGTATTTTTGCTAAAGTTTTTAAAATGTTAATGGTTCTAATAAGTTTGTATTTCTAATACATAATGGATGTAAGTTTGAGAGAATTGTAATTATGTATAGCAATATTTATGTTAGAATTATGTTAACCTGTTGATGTTAATGGTGAAGCTAAGGGAGTCTTTAACTTTGGTGTAATTGCATCTGGAGTTTGATTTTTTTTTTTTGTGGTTGCATCAAGAGTTTATTGATTTAAAAAAGGGCTTGGTACAGCTAAGACTTCTATAGACATCTGAGACCCATTCAAAAAGGACATTCCATCTTTATCATCATCTACTCCATTACTGGGAGGCTTGACAGCTACAGAGATTGCTGTGAGCTCTTACTGGGGAGCCCTTTAAAATATTAAGAAGGCAGACCTGTTGGAGCCCACTGAGGTTTCCTAGTGGCTTTACTCAGCAGGACTGTATGAGAGGATGATTGGAACACAGGCTTCAGTACCAAGTGTTTGGAAGGGTCTTCACTTAATTGCATCTAGCAGGGGAGGTCTTTTTGCCTCACCCCTTGGCATTGTTATAAAAAGCCCTTTTGAATAAAGTTCCGGGCTGGCAGGTTTTGGCCCAGGCCCTCTTGAGGTTTTCCTGTGTTTCTGTCTTTCCTCTCATCATCTAGGTATCTCTTTATCTAAATATTTTTCACTTCTCCCAGCTGAAAAGTACCCTGGTCATAAAAGGGGGGCTGCCCCCCCAGGTAGTAAATGCTAATGTTTTTAACCACTAGTGTGGGGCTCTGTAAGTTATACTTTCTGATTCAATCAAATATGCACTGGTTCCTCATGGGACTAATTTCTAAACAGCTCCCAGTGTATGCCTAATCTCCAGCAAAAAGGCTACTTGCTTGAATAGGCAAGTGGTAAAACAATGGGATTAGAAAGCATCAATTACTTTAAATTCCAAGATCTTCATAAATGTCCCAATAGTATGGCAACCAAGTTTGCATACAAAAGATTACACAAATTCTCTTTCCGATTATTCTTCTGTAAATATCTTGGCAACTGTAAGACTTATTAAAAGTACCCTGATAAGTCCCAGGTTTTATTATCTAAAATTCACTTATAGGGGGCATGGTATTCCCAAAACAATGTTGAGAGACTGTGTCATCCTGTTTATCAGAAAATAAGCTGATCACACCTCTGGTACACTCCAATATGCCTGTTTCACAATCCTGTTTTCCTTTCTATTGTGTTTCCAGTCCCCTATAGCACAAATGTACTCATTACTTCCCCACATTGTCCTATAGGGTGTCCTGCAGCTGAAGGAAGTATTCCTGGCCCAGTAAAACCCTGTCTGAGGCCAGTTTTGTTCCTAAAAATATAGCCTCTGGAAGTTCCTCTAGGAATGCCCACCAGGCTCTTGAAATCTGGTTCTTACGATGCTCTTTCACAAATGCTATTGAATTCATAAATCCCACAGAGCCTCTGCTTCATTTGCCATTACCCCTCTGATACAATGATTGTCCCTACCCTACTGATTTGCATATGACCCTCTCTGTCCATGCTCTTTCCCACATAATTCCAGCTTCTAGGCTACCTGGACCCATTTTATACAGGCTCACCACATGCTTGCTATCTCCATAGACAAGAACTAAGTGTATAAATAGCTACAGAATGAAGAAAACAGTAGTGTGAAAGGTACAATGTGAGATTGTCTTTTCATTGTGGACAAGTTTAAAAATGTACCGTGACGTTGGAAATCTGTACTGATTTAGAATAATGATTTCAAGGTCCCCAAGAAGAGGGATCCTATCCCTTGAACACCTGAAATTGGAATCCAAAGTTTGTCAGCTAGCTGCAATCTCCAGATTGTTAAGGGCCAGTCCAGAAACCTAACATTCCATAGTCTCCTGTCTCAGGTCCAACATCCCTGATATAGCAGCAACTGGTAGAAATTATCTATGATCCTTTGAATTCAACAGCCTGAATTTATTCCAGATTGTATCATCAATGAGCTCCTGTTTTAATAAACACCAATACTGAGAACACCAAAATGTTCTCAAACAATATTTTCTAAAGGGTTGAATATGACATTTTTGTGTTGAAATCTGTGAAAAAAATATATAATGATATGGATTTGTTAAGTGTAATACACTGAGTTTTCTAAGGTACAAAATTGGAGTCTTCCTGGTTTTATTATCAATAATCTGTTATAATGCTTTAGCATCAACTAGATACTTTTTCATCCCTTCTCAGTATGTCAAATTGATTTTCTAGCACACTTTTGGGGATTTATAAACTATAAATGAGCATATGTACATGTCTTGTTCAGATTATCTGATTAAAGCTTAAATAGTTACATGATATTTCTATGGATGGACCTACAGATGAAATGAAGCTGAAGATAAATTCTTAGCAAAACCCTTTATTAAGCTTTGTTTCATATGAATATTCTGGGATTACTACAATAGTAGTATTGTGTAAATGCCTTTAAAAAAGGAACTGATAGTCAACTAATTTCTTTGAGCTTATAGTGCAGAGTGGTAAGGTATAGTATTGTGGGGCATACATGAGCTACAAAGATGGTGCTGAGAGGAAGTTAGCCTAAGTTGTTTACACAGACATTAGATACAAATGGTGCTGAGAGGAAGTTAGCTCAAGTTGTTTAAGCTGAGATAAGATACAAAGATCAAGAGATGATGTCAGTGCATAAACAAGTCATAAACAAGGAAATGAGTATAGGGTGACCTTTAAAATGATTGGTTGCTTCCTTCTATCCCCTCCTAGGGTTCTGAGGTTTTTGCTATAAAAGAGGCTTACTGCCTAACAATAAATGTGTTCTTGCTTGACTTGACTCCCTGCTGCGTCTGATTGTCTCCGGGTAAGAGAAAGGCTGGGAAATGGGCCAGTGGCACACTTACCTTTCCTCGGTTCCAGGCCACCTCTTCAGAGGTGACCTAAGTTCCTGGTGGGATAAGACCCCACTTAGTATGGCACAAGGACACCACAAATAGTCTGTCGTATATGCCCACAGATAGCATTGTTCTCAAGGTCATTGGAATTTGGCTGAATCACATAGTATGAGTTCAAACCTGGAACATTTGAGTGGAAAAATTCTTCCCCTTTTTTGTAGCCTCAAATGCATTTTCTCTAATACAGTGGCTCCAAATTTCCTAATGCTGCAAGCTTTTAGTTTAGTCTCCCAAGTAATCCTATGGGGCCCAAATTACTCAAGACCAGAGAATCTGAACTTACTTTACCCAGCAGGGCTGCATAATGGGATGATTTGACCATGGACGTGGCTACCAGGTGTACTGAAGGGTCTACTTTTGCCTGTATGCCATGCTTTGATCTTGATAGGGGGAGGTCTTTTGCCTCACACCTTGGCATTGTATAAAAAGCCCTTTGGAATAAACCTTGTGACTGGGTATTTACCAAGGGCCCTACCGAAGCTATTCTTTCTTATCGTCTTTTTCTATCTTTCTGTCTAATACATCCTCATTCCTCTCCTGTCCCTCCAAGAACCCTTCAAAAGGTGGGAACTGGACTTCCACACATGTGGGATGACCCAGTTAGAGACAATAGAGGCATGGTATCTCAGTTCCTAAAACCATTGAAAATATATTTTCCTGTACCTTAGACAACCCCTATGAAAGGGTCTTTTAATCCCAAAGGAGTCATGGACCACAAAAGTTGACAAATGCTACTCTATTATCAACTTCCTGTTTACAAGTTTGGAGGAACAATTAATGGGTACAGCACATGTTTTATGAGACACCTTTCCTGGTGAGACACAACATACATAAGCATCGACTCACCCCAACTGGAAACTGAAAATAGAATCAAGTCCAACTTTTTTCATCAATGAGTTTTATTGGAATTGCTTACAGGATTATGGGTAAGCAGATGTTTACTGGAGCATAAGGAACTCAAAGAGTTGTTATCACAAAACTCAAAAAACATGTGATAAAGCTCATGAAAAATGTACACAGTACACCTGTAGGAATATTTACAAATTAAAGAGCATCCTATCTTTATGGCTAAAATCCTCTTCTAAGGGGCATGACTTCTGAGTTTCTTCATTTGAGTTATGAACACAGAATGCTGTCAGTTTCAGGGGTTTCTTAAAGCTGAAGCTCGAAGCTCTTGAATGGCATATTTCCTGCTTTACTCAGCTTCCCTTCAAAATGGATCATTCTAGTCTCCAGTAAACTGTTACACAACAGCATACACTTCAGTTTCCTCCATTTTGTATTCATTATGAAGTATTTGAGGGTGAACATGTAAAAAATTTTAATGAAAATTGTCCTATATTTTCACATTTTCCATCTACATAAACTTTTGATGTTTTCTAAGATTTGAACATAACTTAAAGGCTTTCACAAGTTTCTCATATTCATAATAATTCTCTAGTGTGAAGTTTCAAGTATAGCTAAGAACAGAGCTTGGTTAAAGCACATGCCAAATTATATCCCATGAAAAATTGTCTCACCAGTATTAATTTTCAGATGTTTTCTTAGACCTGAGAGGCAGGTAAAGACTTTTCCTCATACATTACATTTGTCAGTTTTCTCTCCTGTATGAATACTTTGATATGATCTCAGGTTGGGGTGAAAACATGCTAGTTAAGAGAGGGTAAGAAGCAACAGCTGACCTTCCTTTTTGGCCAGAGATTCAGCAAGAAAGTGTCTCTCCAACCATTTCAAACCAGAAACACCACAAAACTCCAAGTCAGTCATTCCTTACTCCTTTGCGTGTGTCTATCTGTCTTCCATGATCCTTCATACTCTCTGTGGCCATTTCCTGTCAACTAGTTCCAGGCCCCACTCCCTGTCCATGGTTTATTTTAACTTGTGGGTTTCAGAGTGAGACCAAACATATTCTGACCACAACATATTCTGAGATGAGCAATTATAAAAGGGTTTCTCGAAATCCACAAAGATACCTCCACAATAGACCACTGGCAATGGTCAAGAGAAAGTCCGAAATGACCTACTCTGGTGATCGGATGGCCAAACACCCTGTCGTGGTAGAACTCTCATCTAATGACTGATGGAAGCAGATGCAGAGATCCATGGCCAGGCCCCAGGTGGAGCTCTGGGAGTCCAATTGGTGAGAGAGAGGAGGGATTGTATGAGCGAGAGATGTTGAGACCATGATTGGAAAAAGCACAGGGACAAATAGCCAAACTAGTGGAAACACAAGAACTATGAACCAATAGCTGAGGAAACCCCATGGAATTGGATCAGACCCTCTGGATAAGTGAGACAGTCATTTAGCTTGAACTGTTTGAGAGGCCCCCAGGCAGTGGGACCGGGACCTGTCCTCAGTGCATGAGCTGGCTTTCTGGAGCCTGGGGCCTATGCAGGGACACTTTGCTTACCCTGGGTGAAGGGAGGGGGTACTGGACCTGCCTCGACTGAATCTACCAGGCTGTGCTGAATCCCCAGGGGAGTCCTTGCCCTGGAGGTTATGGGAATGGGGGGGTGGATTGGGGGAGGGTGGGGAGGGAGGATGGGAGGAGGGAAGACAAGGGAATCAATGGCTGATATGTAAAATTAAATTAATTATAAAATTAAAAAGAAAAACTTTCTCACGTTTGTCACATTTCTAAAGTTTCTCAAATGTATGTATTCTGAATTCGAAATTCTCTTTCTTTGTAAAGAATTTCCAGCATTAACTACATTATGTAAGATTTCTCAACTGTATGAGTTTTCAGATGTTTTCTAAGAATTGAGCCAAAGGAAAAAGATTTGTCACATTCACTACATTTGTAAGGCTTCTAACCTGTATAAGTTTTCAAAGAACTGAGCCACACGAAAAGGATTTGTTACGTTTACTACATTTGTAAGGTTTCTCTCCTGTATGAATTCTCTGATGCATTTTAAGACTGCCTTTCTGGGTAAAGGATTTGTCACATTCACTGCATTTGTAAGGTTTCTCTCCTGTATGAATTCTCTGATGTATTTTAAGACTGCCTTTCTGAGTAAAGGATTTGTCACATTCACTACATTTGTAAGGTTTCTCTCCTGTATGAATTCTCTGATGCATTTTAAGATTGCCTTTCTGAGTAAAGGATTTGTCACATTCACTACATTTGTAAGGTTTCTCTCCTGTATGAATTCTCTGATGCATTTTAAGACTGCCTTTCTGGGTAAATGACTTGTCACATTCACTACATTTGTAAGGTTTCTCTCCTGTATGAATTCTCTGATGAATTTTAAGACTGCCTTTCCGGGTAAATGACTTGTTACATTCACTACATTTGTAAGGTTTCTCTCCTGTATGAATTCTCTGATGAATTTTAAGATACGACTTCTGGGTAAAGGATTTCTTGCATTCATTACATTTGTAAGTTTTCTCTCCTGTATGAATTCTCTGAAGCATTTTAAGACTGCCTTTCTGGGTAAAGGATTTGTCACATTCACATTTGTAAGGCATCTCACCTGTATGAGTTTTGAGATGTTTTCTAAGACCAGAGCCACTCAAAAAGGATTTGTCACATTCACCACATTTGTAACGTTTCTCTCCTGTATGAAGTCTCTGATGAGTTCTAAGATTGCCTTCTCTGTTAACCGATTTATGACATTCACTACATTTGTAAGGATTCTCTCCTGTGTAGATCATCTGACGAGTTCTAAGATGGTCTTCTGTGATGAAGGATTTGCCACATTCACTACATTTGTATGTCTCTCCTCTGTAGATTCTCTGATGTATTCTAAGAGAGGAGCCACATGTAAAGGATTTGTCATATTCACTACATTTGTAAGGATCCTCTTCTGTGTTTCTCTGATGAGTTCTAAGATAGCCTTTTGTGGTAAAGCATTTGTCACATTTACTACATTTGTAAGGTTTTTCTCCTGTGTGGGTTCTCTGAAGTAATTCAAGATGGTCTTTTGTAGCAAAGGATTTCTCACTTTCACTATATTTGTAAGGTTTCTCTCCTGTATCAAATCTCTGGTGTATTCTAATATTATCTTTCTGGGGGAAGGATTTTTCATATTCACTACATTTGTAAGGTTTCTGTCCAATGTGGATCTTGTAATGTCTTCTAAAGTGTGATGTGTGACAAAAGCACTTACCACGTTCTGTACATGTATAGGGTTTTTCTCTAACATGGATTATGTAATGTACTTTGAGTTGTGAAAAATACAGAAAGTGTTTACTACATTTTATACATCTATAGGGTTTCTCTCTAGGATGGGCTCTCTGATGTCTAATGAGGCATGAGTGAGTCTTGAGGCATTTTCCACATTTTCTGCATTGGTATGGTTTCTTCCCACTATCAGTTTGTTTCAGTATGATTTCTGTATTAGAGTAAAAAGATGTATCATACTTCATATTTTTGTGTTCTTCCTTTCCTGTGTGATTTCTTTGATTTTGGCTAATGCTGGAACACAAATTTAAACAGTTTACACAGTCTGTATATTTGCAAGGTTCTTCTCTAGCATTCCCACTTTTGTGTCTGTTGAGGTTTAAGGCTTCAACAGAGGCATCTCTGTGGTTACCAACTTTGTACTTGTTATTTTCTGTAGTATCACTTGTGTCCCAAGGTCTACATTGGCTGGATTCATGAATCACTTTGCCAAGCTCATTACATTTATAAGACTTCTCTTTGTAATTTTCATGATTATGGATGAAATGCTTTGTGACTTGATGCAAGAACTTCTCATATTTACCACATATGCTATGGTTCTCTGAAAAAATAGTGTAATTAGGGATAATAGCAATTAATGCATGAGTAACAGATTCAATGCCTGATGTTTTCTTAGGTTTACAATGACATATACACTAGTAACTTTCAGGGACAGAGCTCTTAACAGAGGACTTTTCTGTTTCACAGTCATTAATTGGATGCTCATAAGAATCTCCAATCTGATCTATATAAAAGCACAGGAACAATAATAGCCTTCTCATTCTTTTTTCCTTTCTATTAATTTTTTCATTTATCACATTCAAACTGCAGTTTACCCTCCCTCCTCTTCTCATGTTCCCTCTCCCCAGCTCCCCTCTCTCCCCTTATCAACTCCCCCTCTGTTTCTGGTCTGAAAGGGGCAAGCCTCCCATGGGTGTCAACAAAGCATGGCAATTAAGTTTAGGTAGGACTAAGCTCCTCCCTTTGTCTTCAGGCTGGATGAAGTAACCCACTATAAGGAATGAGTTCCCAGAATGAAGCCAAAGAGTTAGGGAAAGACAAATAGGTGTTTAAGCATTAAAGAACTTTGAGAAAGAAGCTTAGTGAAGGATCATATAAAGAACATTTCCCTATTTCTTATGTTTTTGAGACAGAGTACACAGTACAGCTTTGGTCAGCTAGGAACTCATAATATAACCCAGGTTGGCAGGGCACTCACCATGTCCTACTGCTTCAGCCTCCATATTAAAATCATGCTGTACCAGGATTAGACATGGCAACTACATCTCAAAAATAAAAACAACATTCTCAAAACCAACAGATCTTTCTCTAAAACCTCTTCCATTGTTTATAATCAGATAATAGGTGAAGAGTTTAATATAGTAGCAAAATTAATATGTTCTAAGTATTATGAGTACTGCTATATATTTCCTTCTCTGAATATTCAATATTTTTTTTAACTTGGAAGTTTTGTTTATATATTAGATAAGAGGGCTGAAAGATCATGGAGAATATTGCATTTGTTACTCTTCTAGAGAACAGAGAAAAATGTAAATGAAGCACCATTAAAAAGTTATGTGGTAACAAAAATTCTCCTCATTTCTGGGATTCTCTAGGTACAGGGAGTTTACATATACATGAAGTAGGTAACTAAAAAGGATGAACCAGAAACTCTACAAGAACAGAATTCTTACCCACAAAGAGTAGATTGTTGTAATTCTCCAGCATCACATCCATGTACAAAGTCCTCTGAGCACAGTCTAGACATTCCCATTCTTCCTGGGAGATGACAACAGCCACATCCCTGAATGATAACAGACCCTGCCATAGAAAATTACCTATTTATCATGTGATGCTTGACAAATAATTTCTTAGGTAAAAGAGACCTAAAGAATTAGAAACATGTTTGTGATATACATGTTTAAAGGACATGAGCTTTCTAGAAGTGCTGCATTGCTACTCTTTCAGAAACAATGTATAGAAGAAATTACTACATTGGTTCCATTCATTAGGTCATTCTCTTCCATGAATTTTCTGATGTTTTTCTAAGACCTGAGTAGCAGATCAAAGATTTGCCATAATCACTGTATTTAAAAATTTGTCTCCAATTTACAGTCCATCATGTCTTAAAGTCCATGAAAATGTAGTTAGGTTCCCAGCACACTCATGGCACTACAAAACAGAATTTAATCTCATATCCATGAGATTCAATGCTCACTGATGAACCTTATGGGCAGGAGTCATACATAGTACACACACATACTTTCAGGCAAATATATGGAAATTCATAAAATTGCACCTTAATTTTAACAAAAGATACTCTCTAAAATATTGTCTTTATTGTACTGTCTATCTCTGTGAAAACAGCATGACATAATAGTCTTGCAATCAGCAAACTTTTAGGGAATATAACATACACATTTGTGGTCAAGATGCAGAAATGTACCTATATGAAATATGTATTGACAGCAAACAGAAGCCCAGTGTCAAATCTCAAAGAGTACAGTTATAATACTTCAAAATTATACAACTGTTGACATTGCTTCAAAATGGACACTAGATTAACCCTGTCTGAACCTGGATTCACCTGACTCTATTCTAAAATGCTCAGTTGAGATCCTGAGGGCTAAGTAAAATGCTGCACCCTTTCTAGAACAAAGAGGTAAAATATGGAATGCATAATTCATAGATGAATTAAAAGTCAGTTTTTCCTTGAGAGTAAGGAGTGTAAAAACATTGAAGATATCCAATGTTCCCAAATAACACATAGAATCAAATTCTTTATGAAGATATTTTTGAGAAATATTTACAAACATGAAGTAAAGAGAAAAATCATAATTAGACAACATTAATGTTATTTAAATTTTTGCAAAAGTTGAAACAAACAATACTGATAATAATTTCATGAATTCCATACAGTGTTTCACTATAGAATAATTAAAAATATATGTATAAACAAATGCCATCTGCGACAGTGCATTCAGATGAAGTAGAAACACTTTCTGTTATAAAAACAAATATATTAAATAGAAATATTCTACCTTCACTAATTTTGAATATATTATTACTCATGTGATTGACTCAATTGAATATTGTAATCTCTTAATTTCAACCTTATTTTTTCCTTAGTATTTGAGCTCATTCATCTAACTGGGTTCTAGCATAGATAAGTATCATTTCTGATTATTCCTTCATTTTTCAAAACTAGAATACACATGGTTATATACTATCACAAGTATGTACCAGAAATGTAAACCCAGAGCCTAAACACATGGCTCAGAGGTAAAAGGCATTTGCTGTATCTGCAGAGAAACCTAATCTAATCTCTACACACATGACAACTAACTACAGTTCCTGACTTCAGTACCAAGGGTTTGGTGCTGACATCACAGATCTGCATCATGCAGTATACATAAAAATATGTATATAAATCCTCAAATACTCAAATAAAAAATTATTGTAAAGAAATAGAAACACTGACACAACTCTTCAGAACTTGTCCCTGTGTAATACAAACTTTCAGGGACAGGAAAATCTTAGGCTGGGGAGAGCCTTCTTTCTCCAAAAGAAAAGGAGAAAGTAAAGTAATTAAGAGGGACATTTATTTATGCTTGAAAATTGATAGCTTATGTCCAGCACCAAGTCAATACTCTAGAAAATTCTTACTAATATATTCCCCATGATGCCATACAAAGGTGGAGAGAATACTGCTTATGCCTCTTCTGAAAAATGAAACAAAAGGTAAAGAGAAAGTAAGAATTTTCTGAAGAGAGCTAACCAATGAACTTGGAACAGAATCTCCCCTGAAACAAATACATTTCAGGTGTCAGTGCAACAATCATCAATGTGTGACATAATATAGCAAAAGAGAAACCAGAATACTGCAACATTCATCTTCTCATAGACACATCAATTTTCTGGCCAAAGCACGTCACACATAACTTCCACTATCTATACTCTCTAGGGTGCTAAAATATTTACTATTAGGGTTCAGGACAATGCATCTAATTCTACTTTTCTGTAAGTTGCTCAGTGATGTCATTGAAAAGGTCCATGTATTGTCCTGCTCATGTTCATAAGCCTGTTTCTAGAAAACTGACCACTCCAGAAATGCAAACGATGTAACACATGTAATCTTCCTTCCTCACTAACATAACAGGACACAAGTCCATCCTATGTAAAAAATGGCCATCAATATATTTCTTTGAACATCATTTACAATATATTATGTTTAAGAACTTCAAGTGTTAAGTCCATGGAAATGCATGGCCTCAGAGTATAAAATCAAGTGAAAATATAAGGGGACAAGTCTCTGCTATATAGGTGAAGAATTTAAAGACTTAATCTTGAACATAAGAGAAGAAAAACAGATAAGGCAAAATAAACACTTTAAATATTATTGTCAATGGTAGAGAATTAAATATTTGAAGGGTTTCAATAATAAAAACAATTTTCAGATAAATGTGGACATGACACTTACCTGGGGATCATTAGTCACAGAAGTATTCATTTTTCTTGTTCTTCTCTGAGTTTATCTGTCAGAAACAATGACTGGAAGTCTTGTTGAAATTTCACATCAAGGTATCGAAAACACAAAGCTAAAATTAATACAACTCTGTTAAGGTCAATGCCAAACCACATAAAAAGACTCCAAAACAGAAATGATACCAGAAATCTTGTCAAAGACAGGAGAGCATGGAAGGGTATATTTAGAATGGTGAAAGAAAATGACTATGAATCTTATCATTGCACCCAGAAACATGGGCTCTTAAAATTCATGAAGGGCATATGAAGAACGTTATAAAATGACAAAGAACATCCACTTAAGCTGCACTGCAGATCATAATTAGAGACAAAGTATACATAGAAAAATCAGAGAGAAATTAGTCATGACAACCAAGAAATTAAGTATTTTACAAAAAGAATGAATGAATAGGAGAGCTGGGGTATACCATATTATTTTCAACACACAATCCAGCAAACTACCATTTCTAACTAGAAGGAAGTAAATTACTACCCCTAATTTTACCTATAAAAATATTTAAAAAAAACAAATCATGAATAAAAACCCCACTATATGAAAATACCAGTAGAAACAGATATGTCATAAGACAAACTTTGAGAGATTTTATAATAAACTCCTAAAGGAAACACGAAGAAATGGTACACAGCTGAGCACAGTAAATGACAGCTGTATTACACTGAGGCCAACAGTCCAGTGCAGAGAAAAAAAATGAACAAGATTAGCAGGAAAATTTAAAAGGAGAGTAAGATAACATGTGCTCTCCAGTCTTATTGAATCTAGGGACATACAAGCCAGAAAAAACTGAATAAGAAAGAAGAATAGTGAGAAACAGGAAAGGCACCAAATTCCTTTTTAATGATGATGTGATCACACACAAAAACTTTCCAGAGTTGCCACAGGAAAATCTTATATTTGTCAAGTGCTTCACATATTATAGAAAAGTATAAAATTAACATAAAAAATCACTTTCTCTATTTATTAATAATGACACATTTGAAAAGTAACTTAGAAACTTAAGCCATTCAGGTTGCTTCCAAAAGATTTAGGAAAAACACTAAGTAATGTGGAATTTCTTCTATGAAGAAAATTTTAAGGCACTCGGGAAAAAAATGAAAAGTAATGGTACACATAGAAATGGACTTCTGTGCACACTGACTGATGAATGAAATGGTGTATGTGGTTTGTCTTAGCTAGGGTCTCTATTGCTGCAATGAAACATCATGACCAAAGAGCAAGGCAGGTAGGATAGAGTTTATTTGGTCCACATTTTAATGTTACTGTTTATCACTGAAGGAATTCAGGACAGGAACATAAACAAGCCACACCTGGAGTCAAGTGCTGATGCAGAAGCCATGTAGAAGTACTGCTTCCTAGCTTGCTTCCCAATCCTTGCTCAGCCTGCTTTCTTATACAATCAAGGGCCACCAATCCACCACCCCCAATCAGTTGGGTCCTCCCCCACCAATCCCTAATTAAGAATTATGCCAGATCTTATGAAGGCATTTTCTAAACTGAGGTTCATTCCTCTCTGATAACTTGTGTCAAGTAGACATAAAACTATCCTGCATTGATGCAATCTGATCAGAAATTTTGATATTTTCCATGGTCATATGGACACAAGAAAATCACAAATATCAAAATCAAAATTTTCCTTAAATATAATATTACTGGGGGCATCACACAAGACCTGATCATATATCATGATACAGAGGCACAAGGACAAAGACAGTATGGTCCTACATATTAAAAGAAAAAACATAGAATATTTGTCCATAATAATGTAGCTGGGAGGTTTAAAAGCATAAGAACAAATCCATCTGAAATAGTACATAGAAAGATATTAAAAAGTTGTATAGAAATTAATGAAATAGCCGGTTATGGTGGCACACGCCGGTAGGATTTGCTGAAGGAGGCAGAGGCAGGAGGAGCACAAGTTCGAGGCCAGCCTGGGCTACACATTTTTTTTTTTTTTGGTTTTTCAAAATTAATGAAATAGAGTCTAGAAAACAATACAATGAGTCAAGAAACAGACTTGTTTCTGTGAATTGACAAAAGTATGGATGAAGCATTTTTCACCTAATCCAAACTAAAATAATGAATCTCCAAGTAATAGAACTAGGGTTGAAAAAAAGGATACTGCAGTGTATCCCAATGACATCAGAGTTACCTTATGGAGTAGTGTGGAAAGTCATACACAAAAAAAAATTAGAATTGAAGAAGAAAAGGACAAACTCCTGGAAACAAGTAAAAAACTTAACCTGCTAAGAGATAAAACTAGAAAAGGCATCAAGCAGGGCTGAAATTGATGTAAGAATTTTCCTCTAACAGTGTCTGAGAACTTGACAGATTCAGAATAGAATTCTCCTTTCCTTTAGAAAAACCTTATAATAATACCACAAAGAGAATGTTGCATAAGACACAAAGAAAAGAAATGATAGAAAGTCTTCCTACAAATCTAGCTTTCCGTTACACCCAAGTCTCTGCAGAGTCACTGCAGATCTATCTTCACCATCCAGGGATCTTTGTTCTGGCTTCACAGGTGAGCAGGACTGACTGAACAATGAGACTGGCACAGGAGAAAGAGATTCTTCAGAAATCACCTAAAACTTTTCATGGAACAAAAACAAAAGATGCTAACACCTGCCAAAAGAATAAACATAAAAGAGAGAGAAAATATCAAGAAAAATGTCTGTCGTGAGGATTTCACTTTACTCTCTGATGTGAGACTCATTCACACACATGTAGAGGAGTTTTCTCAGGAACCCTGAGGAGGAGCAAGAGCAATGCCAGAAAACTATTTTCACCCTCAGAATCCAGACTGCTGTACTTCTCCAACAAATCTCTGCAAAAAACCCTGTGAGCAGGGTTGAGACATTCCCATTCTTCCCACAAGAAGTACACAGTCATAGCACTGAATGTCAACAAATCATGAAGTAAAAGGAGGAGAGTTTGGCCACCTGTATATGGGTAGAGTGCATTTCTTCAACCAAGGAGACATTTTCCTGATACAGGTGAATGCTCATAATTATTCAGATTCCTTCTAAAAGTTTGATTCTATCTATAATGAGTGTACTAACTATAAAATATGGTGGCCTGATATACTCTCACAGCATTCACATTGGGCTTGCCTGGGCCAAAGACGTTAACCTAAGAACACAGCACATGAAGACACATTTCTGAATACTGTATTTAAATCCTAGACTGCACATATCTCAGATGGAAAATTAATGGGGAGTAAAAGGTTTGCTAAATGTTTACAACCATATCTGGGGCACTCCGTAAAATATATGGTCTGTTTAGTCATATCTGCACTGGTTCCTCATGTGATTATTGATCCCTGGTTATTGGGCATCATTAGCCACAGATGTAATAAATCAGATCAGGCCAAATTAATTCCAGGTTTAATCTGAGCGGAGCAAAGCAACCCACAGGTAACTCTCAGGAAGGTAGAAGAGGAATCACAAGAGCACATGGAAGGTTTGGCAACCAGGTCTTAAGATGCCTGTAGGCATGGTCTTGAGGGGGCTTTTTTAGGGGAGGAGTCCGGGCAGAGAGAGAGGTGGGGTTTCCATCTAATCAATCATTATCTACAAAGCTCTCTGAGGATGCTTTGTCTCAGGGGAAAAGACCCCACAAGGGTAAAACAGGGGACTTAGAAAGCATGGATGAATTTAAATTCTAGGAGCCCTGGAATTGCCATAATAGCAAAGAGAACCCTGTTTGCAAACAACACATTATGTAAATGCTCTACTAGATTATTTTAAGAATTATTTTATGACAGAATAGTCTGGCAATTGTAAAGTAAGTGGGAAAAAAATCACCTTAAGACCCACTTGATGGGATCTCAAAGTTCCCAACAATGTAGAGATATCAACAACAGAATATTGAAGGCTGTGTCTGTAAGGATAAAGCGGTGGAAAATGCGGTGCCTCTGGAGGCTGTCCAGGGTGGGCCGCTAAGAGAATATGCCACGTGCAACAGGTTTATTGGGGAAGGAGGATGAGGAAAGGAGCGAGAGGCCATCTCTGCATGGGGACATGAAAGAGGCAGACAGATGTTGAACAGGTAAGAGAGCAAGCGAGGAGCGAGAGAGAGATATTGTGATGGACGAACACTTTTAAGGGGTGCGCCTGGAGCATATAGGGAAGCACCCAGCTTGTAGTGATGGAAATGGCCGCGCCTGGCCGCAGGTGATGATGTAAGCTGCCACCGCCTCCTCCACCACCTTGGGTGGACCAGCTGGAGCTTACAGTGTCCTGAGCAGCCTCGGCGGGCACACCCCGGTCCCTCCCCTCCCGTGTCCCAGCCCCGCAGCTCCTCTGACCTGGGAGGTTCCAGGGCCGCCGGGCTGCGGTTCCCGCCACTGCGCTGCTGATTGGTGACTTTCCCAGGCCGCCCCGCGCGGCGAGGTTTCAGGTCCCCGAAAACACGCCAGGTAATCCTTACCTAGTTCTGGAACACGAGGCTCCTGGAGTCCAACAGGGAATGGTGGAATTTCCTGTCTCTTCAGCCTGGTTCCTTGGAGCAGCTCCTCCTGACCCCGCCCATACACCCCTTCTTCCGGTTATGTGATCCTCTAAACCCACCTATCGCGGGATCTTTTTCATGATTACCCATACACATCAAATCAAGTTAAATCAAATCAAAACCCAAAAACCTAGTGGAGCTTGGTCAGCTGACACCACTTTATCTCACCACTCAGTGTGCAGAGGAACATTTAACTCTGTTATTTGCTTCTAACCTGGTCTGCCTAGTGAGTTTCTAATGAGCAACAGCTATATAATAAGCCTGCCACTCCTGAGTTGAATTCCCAGCAACCACATGGTGGCTCACATGAGATCTGGTGCCCTCTTCTGGCGTGCAGGCATGCATGCAGACAGAACACTGTATACATAATAAATAGATAAATCTTTAAATAATAATAAACAAACAAACAAATGAAACAGCCACAAATACTTTTGAGAAAATGGCACAATGAAGCTTTA